ATTAGCCCGTGCGTGGGCAGTGACGAACTTGTCGGCCATTTCCTCGAACGTTGCTATTGACTGCGCCGACAGTTGTGAATACCAGGTTAAGGCTCCCCCCGTTAAGGTTTTGCCGAACTTTTTCAGTATCACTGACGGTACTTGCTCCTTTGAAAGGTCGTTTCCTTTTATCGCTGTGACGTAATAGATGATGTGATCTTCGGGGTCTGTAGTACCATCGTATATCTTCAGGTACGGTGGCATTTTGAAGGTTTTGGGAATGGCATGTGGAGCCGCTTCCTCTCTATACGGTTATTCGGCGAACCAACCAACGTCTCGTTTTGGTAGTAGCTTTGGGGCACCCGGTATCTTATCGACCCTTTCTTGATGTTCCCACATCTGGTCGCGGAGTTCCTTGTTTTCATTTTCCATTTCTTCCATCTTCTTCAGGATGACCGCGAGTGCATCATTACCTGCATCAACAGAGGTGTAAGTGATACCTGTTTGAGGGACGGGATGCTCGCCAGTGATCGTAGTGGTGTCTGTTTGTGCGGTATTTCCGCTTTCCCTTTGAACGAGTTTGTCGAGCATGTTGTTTAGAGTGCTTGTCAGCCACTCTTCCAGTAATTTTTTCACTGCTGGTGGTGCTTCCTCAGCTGTAGACGTGGAAGCTCCCCTTTCGCGTGAAGCTGTTACGCTTTCGTGAGGGGGAGGTGAAGCACTCCGCCTAGGCGTGGCATTTGGTGTCACATTCTCGTTGTCTCCCCTGCCATCTTCGTTGATGGTGTTCAGAATGTTGGTAGTGATGCCTGCTATCGCTTTCAGTCTTGCATCTCCTTTTTCTGCCATCGTCAGTTTGTGCAAACGAAGAAAAGATGACTTTCTTTTAACCTAGAAAGAACTATAGTTTCAACTAAAACCTCCCCACAAACGATGCTAATCTGTTGAGCAAATAAATGCTAAACCAATTAATGATGAGTTAAAGGATGAATCTCAGTTGAACCTAATAAATTCTAGATAAAATAAAATAAAGCTTTTGTATAACAAGTAGAGTTTCAGAGCATTAAATAGTGGACTTAATTTGTTATGATTGACAAAAGCATAAATGTATAATAATGTAAGCAATGACAAAGATTATAATGTGAAAGGAACTATCACCTAATGATTATATGATTGGGATGTTCCTTTTCTCTGACGGCGACGTGGAAAAGCGAGAGGTCCCAAAAATGTATATGGGATCTTGAGATTTATGGATAAATGTTGGACAACATGTGCTTGAATAAATGAATAAGACAATTCTTTCGTATATTCTTCTTTCAACTTTTACAATATGTTCTATTTCGAAAAGGCAGATCCCTCTTTTGTTCCCTATCTCTACTATTTATAAGGGACATTCCCCAAAAATCCTAAAAAGTACAGCATAAAGAATATCCAAAGGAATATTCTTTATGTTCACTTCTAAACTTAAGTTATCGTTACTATCCTATCTCAGCTGCCCGCTTCCTGTCAGCCTTTATGAGGACGACCTTCAATCGTTGTGTCGTGGTCGAACCCGTCCTTTGTCTTGCTTATCCGTTACCGTGGTTACCAAATTTGGACCTATACACAAACACGGGGAAATTGGAATACATTTTTCGAAAAATATTTTTCTTCATACCAAACACACCCTTAGTCCTGAGTTTCCAATTAGCAGCTCAAAATTTTAGGACATAAAAATTTAGGATACTTAATCCTTAAGTTTGGGTAAATTAATTAATCTTAAATGCATTATAAATTATCAATATATTTTAAATATCATGTTTAAAAGTGGCCACTAATGCACTTCGCCAGCAGTATTTTCCAAGCTCATACTCCCTCCGGTTCACAATAAGTGTCCAATTTGCCTTTTCATTTTGGTTCAAAATAAGTGTCCAGTTATGTAATCAAGAAAGAATTCAATTTGTTTTTACAAAATAACCCCAAGTTTCTNTTACTCCTCATATTAAATGTTTAATTAGGGGTAGTTTAGTCATAGTAGATATTTTTGTATGGAATTTATTATTTTCTTAATGGGCGTGCTAAAAGCAAATTGGACACTTATTGTGAACCAGAGGAAGTAATGGATTAGAGTACAAACATTTAAGATCTGATGAGTGAGTAGAGGTTAAAAAACATGTTTAGTGCATAACCATCCATCTATTAAAGAATATGACTCTAAAATTTTTGTGGAGCTTTATTCCATCAAGTTTTCCAAGGTCAAGGACCACCAGTTTCCACCAACTATTATTCTCAACTTTCGTATCGGTGAATGTGACAGAAATAAAATTCCTTCACCTCCTCAATTAGTAAAAAGGCAAAGCTAGCCACTACATTAAGAATGAATTCTCAATTCTCTTTTCAACCTTTTGAATAGAGAATCCAATCATTTACAATTCTCAAATGATGCCAGAACACTTGGCTGCTTTGCTCGTAATCACAATTTCATACGGAGACGAGCAAATTCAGGAGCGGAGCTGCAATGATGTTTATGTGTTCGGTAACCTAATAACTTTAGTCTAAGTCTTGTATTTGTATTAAAGAAAATTATTTAATATATATAAATAATTTATCCAAAATTTAATAAGCTACACTTTTTATAATTCAAAACCTATAAATTTAAAATCTTAACTTCGCTTCTGAGCAAATTTCCTTTCGGCCACTGGTATATGGGCACAAAAAGGAACACCCACTAAAACCTCAAGAAATATTAAGCATCAATTAAAGAAAGATGAAAAAATAAGAAAAACAAACACAGTGATTCCAAACATAATTAACACAATCAAGATACGACAGCGTTAATTATTTTAACACAAAGTACAAAGACAAGGTGTAGCTGCTCGAGGAAGGCTAATATCCTCTCTACGACTCTACTATAAAATACGATGTCTAACGTCTTATATCTTTTTCTTTGTTTGACAACATGACCATGTCTTAGAATTCTCTTTCTTGAAAGGTTCAATGTTTTAAGCTCAAAAGCCGATTGAAAAAAGATCCTATATAAAAACAACAGGACGGTACCCAATCATTCTCGGTGAGTACTAGTGGTGTTCAAACCGAATCGAAAAATCGCATCAAACCGATTAAAAAACTCGACTAGGTTTGGTTTGACGTGATTTGGTATTGAGTAAAAAAAATCGAACCAAATTGACATATAAATATATAATTATATATATATATATTTTTAAGACTTTATATAGAATTTTCTTTAAAAAATGTTGAAATATTTTGGATCCTCTCATGTGTTAACCTTGAAAACGTACGTTAACAGAAATTATTGTTAGACCACTAAGAAAATAATTATCATGTGTTACTAAAGAAAATTCTCCCATTAGAATATTTTAATAGATCATATGTTTGTTAATTTTTTCAATATTTACTAAACATATATTCACTTATAAAAAACTTTATCTATAATATTAACAGAGTAAGATTGGAATAATATTCATGTAACAAAAAAAAGTCGAAAACCCGACAAAATCGAACCAATCCAAACTGATATAATTGATTTGATTTGATTTTAATAAAAATCGAAGCAGCCCGATCCATGTACACCCCTGGTGAGTATTAGCTCCTAAAATTGCCCATTATAAACAGCATAATCGGGCTTTAACTTATACCTAATGGATATTTCGAAATCCTCCCTTCATTTAATTGTATATGTCGGTATTTGAGTTGCAGAGAATTCAAGAATAAAATACAGGCAAAGAAACTTTTGACACATGTCAAAAGTATGTTAAAATTTGTTATCTTACAAACGTGATTACATTGCTATTTTATAAAAAGCATGTCATTCAAGTAAAATGATAAGTTTAAAACTAAAAATGTTTTAATAAAAAAAGTGTAGTTATTTTGAACACACGCTAAAAAACCATGCTACATTAAATAAGACAGAGTATAGTCAAACTTCTCTATAACAACATCGATTGCTATAGTAAAGTGCTAGCGTTATAGAGGACATATAATCGTGACTGTACAAGGTACAAGGTACAAGCTCCTACCCTGTTTCCATCTAGAACTTTTGGCACTTAATGCAAATGTTCTCTTAGGGGTCGTTTGGTATGAGGTATAAGAAGGCATAAGGGTGATATAAAAATTTAATACCACCTTAATACTCTGTTTGGTTAGCAAACCAGCTATAAGTTATCCCGGTGTTAATTTTAACACTGGGATAACTTATACCTTATAGAAAGTGGGGTAATTAGAACCGGTATAACTTATACCTTCTTCTTAGAAATTATGCAATTGTCATTCTTAAGACAACATACCAAACAATGAATAAACAACAATCCAGCATAACTAATCCCAATATAACTTATATCGGCATAACTTATACCGGTATAGATCATATTCCAACCAAACGACCCTTAGAGAACAATCAATTATTGTTCTAATCACCGATTACTGAAACAAAAATAAAGCAACAATTTCTAGATATAGCCACATATAAGAATGTGTAATCTTTTCGAAACAAGCACCATAAATCTTTTGGGATGATATACCTTGTTTTTGTAGTCACATAGATGCATTAATTATCGAAGGGAGCGCTGCTACGTCTTACAAAGTCACACAGCCAAATTAGCATCCTCCATAGTACAGTTTCTTTTTTCAAAGTAACACTAATAATAATAGTAAAATTTTAAAAATAAAGTATTTCCCGTGATGCTAACGCCACCTAAGATATACTCCTACATACTTTGATGGTGCGCCACATCCACAATTGTGGACCCTCACTACAATCACACCACACAATGCGATCCATACCACGAAATAAAATATCGTTTCGGAATCAGATTCACTTCCAAAAAATAGGCCCCACAACTCTGAGAAAACTTATGGAAAAGAGAACAAAATCAATTCACGCGAACTGCATCGGTCAAAAGGCGGTCGTCTCTTTATCAGCCAAACTACAACACGCCAAAATAATGACTTGAGTTCGTTTAGATCACGAACAAAAAAATAGATCATTCTACCAAAACAGGAGATAATTAAAACAAACATCAAAATTAGCAGAGAAACAAGAGTATTATCTTATTTAAACCATAGTCTTAAGATTAAAGATAAACTGGTAGAAGCAGAACCAATACCAATTACAGCACAACCCTAGAACTAGAACCACAGTAAGCAAGCAGTAACCGATAGATTAAAATTAAAAACAAAGCCAAAAACGGCGACTTAAATATGGATAAACTAGATCATCATCAACGTCCTCAGATCTAGCAGAGTTGACCACAGTCAGCAATCACAACAGGCTTGGAGCACCTGCCAGATCCAGATCCAACAGCCTCAGCCTTCTTAATCACATCATAGCCTTCAACAACTTGACCGAACACAACGTGCTTGCCGTCGAGCCACTCAGTCTTAGCGGTACAGATGAAGAACTGAGAACCGTTGGTTCCAGGTCCAGCATTAGCCATGGAGAGGATTCCAGGACCGGTGTGCTTTCTTTTGAAGTTCTCATCGGCGAATTTGGCGCCGTAGATTGATTCACCTCCGGTACCGTTTCCGGCGGTGAAATCACCTCCTTGACACATGAACCCTGGGATCACACGGTGGAAGGTTGAGCCTTTGTAGTGCAAAGGCTTGCCCATCCTTCCGACGCCTTTCTCGCCGGTGCAGAGAGCACGGAAGTTCTCCGCCGTCTTGGGAACGGTGTCGGCGTAGAGCTCCATCACCACACGGCCGGCTGGCTGGCCGCCAATGGTAAGGTCAAAGAACACCTTTGGATTTGCCATCTCTCTGACTCTAGATTTTTCTCACTGAGGTTTTCGCTGTGTACGATTTGTGCTTAGGGTTTAAGCTAGACGGAACATTATATAGGAGGATGTGAAAGCGGATAATTTATGGTTAGATAATCGTAGCCGTTGGATGAGGACAGGTGTAAGGATCTTGGAGATTCTGATAGAGAAGGGACTTGGGTTAAAATTCACTGTGGTTGGTTAGAATTTTACCATAGTTAGTCAGTGATATGACTAATCACGTGATATATTCGTCACTGATGCTAACGCGCCACATATGCTAACGGGCCGCATAAAGAAGGAAAGATATACAAGCCCAAGAGCGAGCCTATTCCCGCCCAATCGCTAGCCCACAGTACATTTTGCATGACGAACCCAAAACGTTTTCTTAGACCTCTCCTCTGAGGCCACACCGCGGTTCTGGTTAAGAAAGAAGGCAGCCCAATACATTCAACTCTAGCTATGCGTGAGATTCGAAGAATTGTCCGATCAAGTTGAATTTTATGTACACAACCTTATATGTATTTATGCAAGAAACTGTCTCCACCACAACTTACCATAATTATTACTTCAACCAGTGTGCCGTATATACATATAGACAATTTTGTTGCTTGAGCATGATGACAAGATTAACCAATTTGGTAGGTTTTACTTATTTCTGCTATATTAAATGGTGAAGGGCGTACGAACACCGCAATTTACCACATTTCTACTATCTGAGTTGTACAGTAAAGTTGGCCTTATTCTATTGGCTTGGGCCTGTAAACACGTGTATTGTTATAAATAGAACTGTATTTAAGGTGAATGTCTATATTTAGAGAGATTTTACGGCTTGTTACTTGGTGAGTAAGTCACTTTTTCCCTATAAATAGAGAGTTCTATTCCATTGTAATTCATCCAAAATCAATAAGAATTCTCTCTTCATACTTTTCTCTGCAATATTCTTCTTCTTCTTTTATTATTTTATAACACGTTATCAGCACGAGACTCTAACCAATTGAGTAGAAGCTTTGATATTGAGCATAATGATTGTCAATTGTTCCATGAACTTCCTTCGTGATTAAATTCTGGATTTAAGGTAAGTATTTTACCGTATTTTTCTCTTTTATTCTATACTTTTTTAATACAAGCAAAGACAATAAATTTTGATTATAACTCTAATGGAGTTAGTAAGAACTTATAACCACTCGAAGTGGTAAAATTTCTCTGTCTTACCATGATCAAATTCATGTATGATTGTGGGCAAAGAAGTGGAAACCCGTCCCATTGAATTTACTTCATTCTCATTCCCTTAAGAGAATGTGATAACAATATATGATACGTCTGAAAGTAGACAAAATTATTACCGTGAAGGTATCAATGGATGTGGGCGTGACAATAGACGAAATTATAATCGTCTTATTGTGGTAATGAGAATAATAAGGATTCTCAAAATAATCCTTCACTCCGTGAAAGTAATATTTGTCATTGATTTGACATAAGATTTTGTAAAGCACATATAGACGATTATGGTCCATTCATGATGTGAATATGACAACATCTGATTTATGAATACATATTAATTCTTGGAAGAGTATGAACGTGCTAGTGGTAGTGAATATACCACACTCACCTCTAGATGGAGGTTTGAGATGAAATAAGAAAATAATGTCATTATTATGGCATGAATGATCACTGGTCACGTATACGCCAAAATATTTTGGCAATGTAATTATTTAAGGACAACAGTGTTGCAAGAAACAGATCTTGCATATAATTTTGACCATAACCATAATGGTATAACTTTCTCTTTAAAAGAGATATTCACCATATGGATGTTGATGAATATGTGGTACTACAAAATTAATTGAATTCTGCAAGAGCCAATTATACTATTTTGGAGAAACACAATTGATTACCAATAAGGTATTGTGTTGTAGTAAGTCTCAAAGAAACTTATCCAGTTTCCAAAGTATACGCGAAAGCGGTTGATTATATTGAGACTATAAAATAAAGGAAAGATTTAATATCTTCTATTACTACAACTTGTAGCGGGGTAATATGTAGCTACCCGCTTTATTCTCCAGTTTGTACTACACAAATAAAAGAATACCACAATAAAGTGGATGTTTATTGATATAAAAACCCTTATTATAATAAATTTGGTTTATTGATAGTTGCAAATGTCATGGTGTAAACTTGATCTTTATCAATATTGATAATTTATCCAGTTGGCATAACTAGTTTAGCCATATCAATTTAAGTATGACGTGCAAAAATAAAAGAGAGTTCATATGGGTAAATATTAAAGAACTAGAAAGTTCTTTACGAATTCTCTTATATTGCTTGTTCTCATTAATTAATAGACCAACTAAAATTGGGATTGAATCCCATGAATGTTGGAAATATCAAAGGTGAATATGGGCTTATTCACCTGCCATGTATACTACATACGATGCATCTATAAGATGGTTACATGTGCGATTATTATTAACCTGCAACATGGTGTTTGCAAGATAACTCGCTCAATAATTTAATTTAGAGCATATTACAGATTTTATATTCAAGATAGTGTATCTTGATAAGTTGGTTTACATCAACACTGGTTTAGCAAGATGATTTATTGAGTGCCTCCACTTAATAGCTAAACTAATGCTTATGAGAACAAAGTTGTCTATATCCGTTTGATATACGTTATATACGAAAGTATATTACATTCTCCCCTCACAAGTGGTTCAAGGTCAGGAACCAAATAATTTCATCTTATTATTATTGATGTGTGGTGTATATTTTGATTAACACCATAACGCACAAAGGTGAATTTCCAAAATTGAGGAAGAAAGTTAGTTTTTCTAACATGAGAGACAAGATAAACAATTGAGAAAAAGTTACGTGGAATGAATTATCATTTGTATATCTAGATCCTCAAATACGATAAAATGAACTTGAAGTTCATAAAAAGATAATTCATCTGCAATATATTGCAAAGTATGTTGGACGCATTTGCTTACCCAAAGAAAGTAACTATATTCTCACTGCAAATGCTCCTATTAGAATAAGTCCTAGAAGGACAAAGTCTATGGTACGCTTAACGCGCATAGACAAATCGGTTTCAAATAAAATTCTTGATAAAAAAGATGAGCAAATGATCAAAATGATCATATGTCACGACCCAATTTCCCCTCCGTTGGGTTTCGTGGCGGCACCTACTCTTAAGGACTAGGTAAGCCTAATATTTATAGAAGAACAACAATAATAAATAACATCTTAAATTTTTTCTGCAATGAATCCTTTATACAATGAGCATATTCCCAAAACCCGGTAGTACAAGTCATAAGCTCTGTAGAGTTAGCTACCACTTCTATATAAACTGTTTGGAAAAGAGTGAAACAGTTGAATACAAGTAAGAAGGTGACTCCGAAGCTTGCGAACGCAGCAGCAGGTTTACCTTGAGTCTCCTCAGCAATGGTCCGTACAACTACTAACAATCGACACCTGGATCAGCACAACAAAAATATACAAAAGAGTAGCATGAGCACACCACATCGATGCCCAGTAAGTATCAAGACTAACCTAGATGGAGTAGTGACGAGGAACAGTCAAGAAACCTACCGGTCTAATAAGCTGTACAAATATAAGCATAGGAACAACGGAACATGATGTATACGTATAAAGACTATGCACTATGGCCAACAATCATAGTAAGGAAAGAAAAACAGCAAGTAACAGCGGAAATACCATAATAATGACATAGAAGAGCGAGCGAAATCACAAACCCAAAACCTAAATAACAAATACAGTAAAGGTAAGCAATAACTCAGAACCTACGATAGTGTTCACATCATGTCTTAGCCAACAAACTCCACAAAATACCGAACCTCAGACAACTTACAGCTCACGGGTCCCAATACCTGAACCCTAATACTTGCCATCCTGTGCCCCCATCACAACTCATGGTCACGCTGATAACTCACTTACTAACTAGAGATACTCTCACATATATGACAAATAGACGAGGGTGTACATCTATACTCAGCAATATCAGGAGAACTTCATATCCAATGGGAGTGTTCAACTAGTGTATGCTTGTGCAATTGCTTTAACATAGTTCCTACCAGTTAATAAGCATAAGGAAAAGGACGGACGACACGTAAGATGTTTTCTCACAACTTCCACGAGATAAAACTCATACAGGTGAGCATACTACAACACAATATCAAACAGCAAGAATTCCCCCAGGCCATCATAAATCATCACAATCAATCCCTGACATAGCCCACCTTGTCTCGCCACGTGTGAAAATAATAACATAATAAGTGCCCGCCTTTTTTCGTCACACGTGCATCATAATGTTTCCACCTTGTCTCGCCACATGCGCAACCCACATATAAGCATATATATATATATACATATCTCGCCTTGTCACGCCGCATGTGCAATATGTCAATAGTAGCAATAGCACGGCAGAAACCTCGTGCAACCCCATAACAATAACCGCACAGCAAAAACCTCATGCATCATAATATCAACAACCGCACGGCAGAAACCTCGTGCATCACAATATCAACAACCGCACGGTAGAAACCTCGTGCACCACCACAACAAGTACCATATCAATAATGACAATATATACAAGAACACGGCAGATAAAATCAACTCGAGAACTTTCGATAACAAGGAGACGGTAAAACTAGCTCACAAGGAACAACGACAATAGAGAATACTAAGCGTAATAAGAACAGCTCAACAAGGGAGAAAATAATGTGAAGCAATCCCACAATATGTAGTTCAGCAACAAGGAAGCTAACACGAATCAAATAATTTCAAATAAGGAAATGTCAACTAAATATAGGATACCTAAACTTCTTTTAAGGTTGGGCAAATTACGAAGAATATACAACAATTTCAATTAAGGATGAGCAGCGGGAAGATAATCATAACCTCAATTAAGACTAAACAATTACAGGAGAGATAATAATGGTTTCCAATAAAGACAAGCAGTTATGAAAGATAGAATGACGATAGAAGAGGTAAAAATCTTCAATTAAGCAAAATAAGAGTCAAATAGGCAATAAGAATGAATCATAAAGCAATTAATTCCAATTAAAGCATGTAGAGGTGAAACTAGTAAATGGAAGCACAATCATATCAAGAACAACTTCATACTCAGTGAATACAAGGACCTAAGAACTCTAAAAGGCCAACTTTTCACAAATAAGTCCGAACACGCACTCGTTACCTCGCGTACACGGACTACAACCAACATAGAAGACTCAAATCCTAAGGGGAAGTCCCCCACACGAGGTTAGGCAAGGTTAGACAAGATACTTACCTCAATCCGGCCAATTC